TTTTTTTTTTACATTTTCAGCCTTAATTATGCAAACCATCATTTCTATCCATTTTCATCCAATTTCTAAATAAAAACTGTGAAATGACGAATGTACCCACTTATTTAAATAAAAAATAAAGAAAAATAATGATTTTTTTAAAATTTTTTAGTAATTTATTTGGGACTCGCTTACTCGCTTGCAATTTGTTTAAAAAAATGGAACTATAGTTACAATTAGTTCTTTATTTTTATTTAAACAGAGGGTATATTCTTTATTTTACAACTTTTTATTGAGAAATTGGATGAAAATTGATAGAAATGATGGTTTGCGCAATCAAAAGTGTAATTAAAAATAAAAGTGCCAAAAAAATGAAAGATATAGATGTTTTTCACAACAATAGTTAAAAGTACAGGCATTATTTACTAATTACTCTTTCACTAATTTATTTGGGACTCTACTTTTTTTTTTAAAAAAAAAAAAGTTGGGACTATAGTTATAATTAGTTATTTATTTTTCTTTTTGTTTTATTTAAATAGAATGGTATATTCGTTATTTCACAATTTTTAATTGAGAAAATTGATGAAAATGACCTTTTACGCAACAAAATGTGGAAATAAAGATGAAAATGCCTAAAAAAAAAAAGAAAAAAGAAAGATAAATACATTTTTCACAATAATAGTGAAAAATAAAGACGTTATGTGATAATTACCTTTAGAGATAAAAACCTTTAAAAAATTAAAAAAGATCAAAATATGACCATTGTATTATTCAAACAAAATGTGATCATTGGAGCCATTTTGTTGCCCACAAGCTAGCTCGACTCTTGGTCATTGCACACGTAGGCTGAGGAAGTCTCGACTCGTGATTTTTTATTTTTTGATTTGTTTGAACTCCACGGATTAAGCCCATATAAGTCAAGATCATAAGCATGCAAGCGGCTCAGTCTGGTTGTTACACCTACTTATATACAATCAAATCTCGCCCACTCCCCTCACTTATAACAACGCCAGATCTAAAACTTCCCTCATGTTTGCAATGCAAGCCTAGTTATTTTGGTTCTTTGGTATAAATTCTTGGTACCCTTTCCTTGAAATCTGTTTTACATATAGTTTGACATCACGTGAGTTGACAATTTATGCTATTAAACATAAATATCAGTCTTGCTACATTTACATCAAGTTTGACATAATGTGAGTTGACAATTTATTGTACATTGATTTTAACAACACTCTTTTTAGTCAATGACCAGATTCCCAACACATAAGGGGGATGTCATCCAAGATATCAAGGAGGAATGTTTAAATAGATTAATCTTATAAATTTTGAAAATAGGGGGAAGTTGCGCCACAATTAGGTTGCATAGGCATCAGTGCCAAACTGTGCATTGTACACGGGTGATATTATTATTATTATTATTATTATTATTGATTGTTGATGTAAGATCATCAAAAAGTTGATTAAAAGTGGAAGGTGTTATCATATGATTCGATTGTTGACCATATTTGACCTCAATCGTTAAATACCAATCGTCGCACCAACCATTTACTAAACTAATCATTGTCAACTTTCTTAATAGTTAGAACTAGCTTGAGTGAAATTGAATCAAATTGATATGTAAAATTCTAATCGAGTAGCCACAACCGAAGAGTTGTGACCCAAATCCATCAACAAATTAAATGAGATTACTACTTTATGTTCCCTCTTCCTTTATCTCTAGTTTGAAAATTCGCCCATATATTCATTTCTTAAAAAGTCCAGTTATACTATCAATTTGCAGTCTTCAAGTGTTGGGTTTCTTCAACCTTCAGTTGATTTGGTAAAAGCAAATAAGTTCACCACGAAAATTTTTGGACTTGAGAAAGAAGGGAAGCGAGCAAAAGGCTTGCGGGACACTTCTTAAAGACATTACATGAGACCTATTTCAGGCGTTCAAACTCAAGCTCTCCTATATATAAGAATAAACTTTTCTTGGCATAGACAACTGTCGTTGCTGATTCTATATCACAAAAGACGATGAAACTTCAATAATCCTTACACTATACACATCCAATATAGGATCCTGTATAAAAAGTTAAAGAGGGGTATCTTTGAAAGTATTCCCCAAAATATTTGCTAAATATATTTCACAAAATTCAGCTGTAAACGATTAAAGAAAGAGACTGAGATAGAGATAGGGAGAGAACAAGGAACGACTGCTAAATCAAATTGATGATAGAAAAAAATATTCTCATAAATCTCTGGTTTCTTTACTGCATGATGAAATCAACGCAAAGAATCTTGGAATAAAGTCCACTTAGGCTCCGTTTGATAGCCTTTCAAAGTCAAACGAATATGGTAATTTTTTCTAATTGTTTAAATTTTTTTTTTTTTTTTACTTTTTGGTAATTAGAACAAATTCTAGACGTATTGGTAGAAAAATTATCACTTTAATGGACAATTTTTATAAAAAAAGGAAGTCAAACGGACACCAAACTTTCAACATTTTTCAGGTAAAAAATTATATCAATCAAACACAATTAATTACAATTCCCAGGAAAACATTTTCTAGAAAAAAAATTTCCCTGTAAAATATTTCCTTTCCACCCTTACAATCAAACGGACTCTTATAGTTAATAAGCATAATTCAAAGAAACAAAATTCAGTCACCAACCAAAACGAATTCAATCTACAACGAGAAACAAAATTCAATTCAAACTCAAACACAATATACAAAGCATAAAACCCATCTACTTATTGTTTTCATATATAACTCTCACATTACGCGAATATCCCCAAAATGGTCCACATAAAAATATCATAGTCCTAAAAGAATGAACAGCCTTAAAATCATAAAAGAATATATATCAGTCTACAATTTTCCTGAGCATACTCAATTCACTTTTCCAAATTAACCCATCCCATTGACCTGTTCACAGGACCTTGTCTGCTTCAACCTGAATAATGGGCATTCGAGTACCTTCCTCTGCCGATCCTCTCCTCCCTTCCAGCTGCTTGGTTTTTTGAAAAATGCCTCTGTTCTGATGGATTGCGATTCTTGGATGTGTCCACTCCAAAAGGCAATGGCTGAAGCCCTTGTAGATCAGATTCAGGGACATATCCGATGGGCTGTTTAGATTCGTCCATTTTTCTAAAGGTAATCGATATCCTGGCAGTAAAACATCCAAGAATCAGCAGATTATGGAGAAATATAACTAAGGGAAATGAAGAACATAACTTATTTTGATTAGTACCTTCTTGTAGGAACAGCTGGCACACAGTGCTTAGCCACGTCAGCTCCATTTCCATTTAAGACAAGAACAGATCTGTCAAAAGATTTGGCAAGTTAATAATTTATAAGAGGATGATTTCTCGGGTATAAACAAAAAAACTTGAATTTTCACGTTTATCTAATAAAAATCTTTTAAGCACTAAATACTCACCCAACTGGCAGAGAAATTGCAAGAGCACCAGTGAAGTCACCAGCACCCACTATTTTCAAGTTTGATCCGAAAAGTACATCACACTTGCTAAGGAATGAGACGGTACAAAAAGGTCGAACGAAATCATGACTATCAATGTGAGGCGTTATACAATCTCCCTCTTCATAAATGTTGACGATACAACTATCGGGAACACACGATGGAGGTAGAACATGCCACATAATGAGCCTTTCGATCATAGCCTTAAAAAGATGAGGCAAAGGATCAACCATTTCATTCTTGAGGATGCCTGGTGGATTGCCTTCCTCATCCTGCCATTAAAAAAAATGTTTGAACTTAAGGCTGTTGATATCTTCACATTTCTACTGATAGTGATGTGGCGAACCAGTGAATTAGTGAAAGCTGTATCCAAAGTGGTAAAGAACGACGCAAAGAGAAGCTTACTACAGTATAATTGTAACAGCAACCAAACTGAAGAGTGATGCGTCCCTTTCCCCTCATCCACTTCTGCGGCGCAGAGTAGGTACGCTCTGAAATTAAAACTTAGACCAGGTAAACATATATATGACCATTATAACTTCGAGAAATTAATGTCACAATCTTTAAATAAAGCAATGAAATTAGATATGACGCTCAGGGGCATCCAAAATCATATACAAATGGCCATTAATAACCATTATATCTTAATGTTGTAAAGAGAAGCATGACAGTTGAAAGCCAAAGGAATAATAGAATAGAGTGCAAAAATATTGGCACCATAGAACCAAATTAATTGAAGTGGCAGCCAGACAAGTTTTAAAAACCACAAGGAAAGTTGCCTATTTGCAAACCAAGCAAGATGATTTAGATGTATCATGAAATGTTAAATATTGTTGCTGCTCTATGAAGCATATTAATTTAACAGTTTGTTCACTTACTAATCAGAACAATAAACTTCTTCCTAAGTCCTAACTGTACATGCCTGTGAATTGCAAAAACCTCCCTAAAACTCAAAAGGTTAAGCACATTCAAGATTGGCTTAAAAATTAATAATAAAGCAGAGAATGATGAGTATTCTGTGTTTACATACAGTATCAAAAGGGCAAATTACAAACTATTAATCATAGATCATCAGAAAATTCAAAAGTCAAACTGCTATCACCATGAACAAACAGAAAATGACAAATGGCCCAGACTCAGCAGTTAACCATGGCCATTGTAGGGTCTAGACAAACTTCAACAGTTGTCATTTCTTTTCAAGATCTACGTGGCATTGCCCCCCTTTCCCCCACAGACAAATTTCTATAAATGACCCCTTATCTGAGATATGTAGAAGTCATTATTCATATGCTGACAAGAAGAGGATAGATATATCGAAGATTAATGTAGATAAAAAGGACGCAGTTTATGAGTAATTCACCTCTCAGCTTCCCGTTGCGCCCCATCTCTTGAAGCTTTTCAACGTACTTAACAATCCTGTTTTGATCTGCTGCACTGAAGACACCTGTATGTAACTCCAGGCCATCTAGAATGTTCACGAATTTCCCATTAACTCTTTCAAAACAGATAAAATCCTTCTTCCTCCTCACACAACGGAAACGAATGCTCTCTCTTTGCTCCCTTGATAACCCCGGCTTTGGCTTAGCTTCCTCCAATGTCGTTCCCTCTTGCACGCTGCCAAATGTACTACTACCATTGTCTTCACCTGTGTCAAGCTCATCCTCTTGAGCCATATCAGCCCAGGACATTTTCACCTTCGAGCTTGGAAGATGTGCTAACAAGTTTGATGATTCACTATTTGACGAGACATCAGCAGCCGGGTCTGAAGATCCATCTACCTCATCTTTCCAGCTGCCCAATGAATATGTATCTGTGTTATCATTATAATCCGCACTATCTTTCCAACTCCCAACTGAACAATCACATTCTTCTTTATTTCTAATCAGATCCATGATAGCCGAAACTGCAAAATTCCCTTCCCTTTTACCAGGTCCTTCAACATCAGTTTCTACAAAAGCCAAAGAAAAACCCAAGTGAATAACACGTTAGAGTTTCATAAAAACCATAAAAACTAAGTACTTAAAGGCAGCATGATATACGAGATAAAAAATCATTCTTTTTCCAAATTCAGTCGCTGTAAATTCATAGTCTTGAAAAGGACCCACTTTTTCAGTAACTACACTAAAGAAAATTTAACTAAACATTTAGCATAGCCCCCCGTTCATACTGGAATAAAAAAACCCAAAAGATTTAAGGGAAAGAAACATTCCAGGGATCAAACACTTCAATTAAACTAGACACAACCGCAAAATTAGATATTCGTTTTTCAATAAGGCTGCAAGATTTCGGAAAGGGGAATCTCATAGTATATAAGAACAGCATAGATATAAAAGGAGGGTATTTGTACCTGGGTTGAGGGATCCGACACGATCAGACAGAGTTTCAGCACAGCTATTGCAGAGTGCACGGGAGAGAAACGGCAGCCAATTGGACAAGAACTCGGAAGCAATTCGAAGTTCTTCGGCGCTGTAATCCTGTAGGAACGTATCTTTCTCACTAGAACTCTGGCTGTCGCCCATCTCAGTCAGAGTACCGAATCGACACGAAGAAAAACTGTGGCAAATCGGAACTCAAAAGAAAAGAGAATAATTAAGAGCAAAATATAGCGATTCAGGTGTGTAATTCTGTTGGCAAATCGGAACTCACAAGAAAAGAGATTAATTAAGAGCAAAATATAGCGATTCAGGTGTGGATTTGTGAGAGGGGATTGGGGATGACAATAATATGTGGACAAAGAATATTTGAGGCTGATTTTGAATTTCTTCCTCAATAAGTAAACGAACATGAACAGGAAAAGGAATTGACTCAATTCAACGCAAGTCAGGAATATTTCCTCATCCTAATACAGGATGGTGAGTTAAATATTCCATTGACCACCAAACTTTACACTTCGTCATGGATTATCCATCGAACTTTAGAAATCGACCCAATGGCCATTGAATTTATCTCTGTTGCACTCAGTTACTCACCCACTTAAATTCGTCAATTAGAGATGTCAATCTGAGTGGGCCGGGTCGGATCGGCTCGCCAACATATAAGCCCGGTAACGACCCGCGTGAAAAAAAGCACGTCCGCTACGATTTCGGGTCGGCCCACAAATTTTGAATTACAACCCAAACCCGCCCGCTGACCCATCCGGGTCGAGCCTATACGGGTTGCGGTTCGCGAGTCAAGAGTCGCTGGTTGTTCCAAGAATTTTTTATATTAATAGCAAATTTGATTTTTTTTGTTAAATATAAACTAAGAATTGAACAAAATAATTAATTCATATTTATACCTAGAAATGTTTATTTATTGGCAAATCGGAACTCACAAGAAAACAGATTAATTAAGAGCAAAATATAGCGATTCAGGTGTGGATTTGTGAGAGGGGATTGGGGATGACAATAATATGTAGATAAAGAATATTTGAGGCTGATTTTGAATTTCTTCCTCAATAAGTAAAGGAACATGAACAGGAAAAGGAATTGACTCAATTCAACGCAAGTCAGGAATATTTCAGCATCATGGTGAGTTAAATATTTCATTGACCACCAAACTTTACACTTTGTCACGGATTATCCATCGAACTTTAGAAATCGACCCAATGGCCATTGAATTTATCTCTGTTGCACTCAGTTACTCACCCACTTAAATTCGTTAATTAGAGATGTCAATCCGAGTGGGCCGGACCGGATCGACCCACCAACATATAAGCCCGATAACGGTCCGCGTGAAAAAAAGCCCGCCCGCTACGGGTTCCGGGTCGACCCACAAATTTTGGATTACAACCCAAACCCGCCCGCTGACCCATCTGAGTCGAGTCCACGTGGGTCACGAGTCGCGGTTTGTTCCGATTTGACTCGTATTATTGTATAAATAAAATTATAAAAATATAGAATTTTTCATATTTATGACAAAAAATATTTTTTTGTTAAATATAAACTAAGAATTGAACAAAATGATAAATTCATATTTATA